CCCCCCCCCCCGGCCGGACCATAACTTGGGCCCCGCCGGCGACACGACGACTCAAGGCTGGGCAGCGGCAGGGCCGCGGTCGAGGAGGCGGCAGGAAGAGGACGGGGAGGACGTCGATGAGGAGCGAGACGAGGACGAAGAGGATCAGCGAGGACGCTACAAAGGGAGGCTTTCGTGTCCTGGTGACAAACGGGGCCCAACAGCAAAGCCCCCCCAATGTCCTCTCTGGCTGCCCACGCACGCACACACCTATTCATCATTAGGCCCTCTCTGCCGGGCAGCTTGCAGCTGCAGTCGCAGCTGGTGATGATGCAGCTGCCAAAGCGGCCGCCGCGGTCGCCGCCGCTGCAGCACCAGCCACGGCAGCGCAAGTAACCTTGGCGCTTAATTTTAGCCAGCACTCGGCTCTCTGTTTGAACTGCACTCAGTACAGTACTGTGCGCGACCGGCCTGCCGCCGCCGCCGTGCGGCTGCAGCGTGGCGTGGCGGGGCGTGGCGGGGCGTGGCGGGAGAGGAGCGTGACAGAGAGGACGCGACGGACGGGCGGGGCGGGGCGGTGCAGCTTATGTAATACACATACAAGCTCACGGCGGTACTCGCGCCCCCCTATCAGCGCACTCGCCATGTTTGTGGTCCAAACTAACGGCGACCTGTGCCTCCGTGGGGGGCGCGCGTCCCGGCCTGCGAGCTCCAAGGTAAACAAAAGAGCGACAAAGATCACGCATGATACAGACAGATAGAGGCTGGGGAGGGAGGCGAGCGAGGCAGGCTAGACCGGAAAATACTGCGTATTTTGTATGCAATAACTTCGCGTACCGTCTTATTTGTTTAACACAAGCACCACTCCAGAGAATTTTGTTGCTGCCCAGAAACTGAGTTAGCTAATGCCACTTAGCTAGCTAAATTTTTTGCACTGAGCGGCAAAAAAGTAATAGAAAATAATTGTATATAGTTAAATTTGTTGGATATCGACTAAAATTTAAAACAGGTATCAGATAAATTTTGACCTACTTCTTGTCCATTCCTGAACAGCCACTTCGCCCACCCGCAAAAAGCAACAGGGAAGCAAATGCGAAAAGCCCCATGTAAACCTCATCTGAGGAAAAATGAGTCAACGGGGTAGAACCCATTGCTTGGCGGCTTGAAAACACGTTCGCAGCAGGCAAGATCCGAAAATAGGGGCAGTAGTACTACGTAGCGTCCTGGTAACACTAAGTTCATTGTCTAGGTTATGGTGAAAGAACCGGGGGCGTTGTGGTGCGCACCAGGCCTGCGCTTACCGACTTGAAACAGGTTGCGTTCAAGCGCGCAATGTGCGCTCAACCCCACGTCGGCAAAATGGCTGCGCCTTCATACTTCACCGTCGACACGAAACACACACCTCGAAGGCCGAAAAACGAAACAGGACGCATTTTTCTATCGCTTCTACAGACGCTGATTTCAAGGTCGCTCGCAGCCAACCAACCCCTGCGGCCGCCATTTTGTATCGCTGGGGTCCGTTAGGCCCTAGCGCAAAACACTCGGCACGGCGTTTGTCGTTGGCAAAATAAACAACACAAATTCAGACGAACCAGGTCGCCTCAAGCCCGGTAGCTCACGACCGTTCTTGAGGGTCTAGCGCCGTCCACGACGCAAAAGTCTGCAAGGAGCAGGCCGCCTACTTACTCTCGTTTGCACGACGGCATCCCGGTGGTCCCGGGGCACGGGCAGGATGACGCCCTGTCCCGGCCCGGGCGTCATGACGAGCACCGACGCCCTGGACGCCGTCCTGGACGCCGTCCTCGCAGCGGGGCGGCACTGGCCGCGAGCAGGACGTTGCAGTCGTCAGGCCCGAGCGTCGGGCGCGGGGGTCGCGGCGGCCGCCATCTTGTTTCGGGAGCCACCTACGCGCTCCAAACGCTTGGCGCGGGGAGGGCGCGCGACGCGGTGCGGCACGGCCACCGCTACCCTTGTCTATAATTACGGGGCCCGTTGCACAACCATACCCGTGCACGGGGCTCCACTTCTTGGCGATGCACCGAGTTGGACCCGCGAGCGAGGAAAGAGGGACTCGCCGGACCGGAACGGGCGCGACCCCCAACTGAGCGGAGCGAGCGCCAGCGGCCCGAGCGGGTAGGGGCGCGGGCGAAGGGCTGGGCAGGGTAGGGCACGGCGGGGCAGGGTAGGGCACAGCGGGGCAGGGCACGCCAGGCCACGGCAGAGCAGGGCCGGGCAGGGCCGGGCACGGCAGGACACGGCAAAGACACGATAGGGCTGGACGCTCCCGTGCTTCCACCCGCGATCGGACGAACGCAGATCCGCAGACGCCAGGCGACGCGACGCGGCGCGCTCACTTTCGGTTCTGAGACGGAACAGGAGCTAGTGGACGCGGTGTCGAGGCGGGGCGCGGGCCTGGGGCGGGCCGGGGCGGGCCGGGGCGCGGCGGGGCGGCTGGGACCCACAGGGGCGGCCCCTTTCGCTTGCCGGCGCGGCGAGGCGCGGAGGGACGGGGCCCGGGCCCCACAGTACCCCGCGGGGGCCTAGCACACCATCCGCAGCTGGCCGTCTCACTCGCGTCTCGTGAATCAATATCACGGACCCGTTTAGATACGAGGGCATCCGCAAACGAGCTGAGAGAAGCACAACGCGGGCTGCTTCCCCAGATACGATGCACATGACGTAACGACACACAAACGACACAAACACTGCGCCCGCCGGCTACCGCCCCCCGCAACCGGAAAATGTTAAGTAGGTCACTCGACTATCGCGGTGACGTACCCTCGGGGCTGGGCCGGGCCGACCCGGCAGCTCACCATGACGGGGCTTGTCCAGGTCCGCGGCCGGCTGACCTGCGCGCCCAGGACCGCGGCGGCCCGCTCCTGACCAAGGCCACTACCGCTCCGGTTGACTCCCGCCGCACATGCCCCCCGCCGGAGGGAGCCTGGAGCAGCACGGATAGCCTCTCTTTTCGACGGGGTGCAAGAGACGCTCGCTGCCTCCAGGAGCGCGGGGGCAGCGTGTCGTCGCCTGTAAAGGGGGTTGTTTCGCCACGACGCGCGACCAAAATACCCGTCGCGAGTTGTGAGCGAAGCAGAGCGAAGGCCAGCCCAGGCAAGCGCTCACGCGCAGAGCGGCACTGCCGGGGTTGGTCGGCAGGGTGCGCCACCTACCGGCCGTGCGCGGGGGGCGCGCGCGCATCTGGGGGGCGGCGGGGGCCCGGGCCCGAAAGAGGGGCAGGGGCCCCTACGACCCCTCATCAAGGCCTCTCTCCTCCACTCCCCCCCAATTACAAATGGCATGCCGACCGTCCTCGACAATCAACGAGTGCAGCGCGACTCGGCGCAGCACAAGCACTCCCGCCACACACGCGCGGACACACACGCCCACACACACTGGCGCGCACGCGGGGGCCGCCGGGGCCGGGACGCTGCTCGCCCGCGGCGGCGCACCTGTCGCGAACCTACCTGTTGAGGCGGCGGGCCGGGGTACCCGCTGAGGTAGCCCGGGTGCGCGTCGAGCGCGTCGGCGGCCGTTTCGGCGGTGCAGACGGGGTGGTCGGGGTCGGCCGTGCCGGCGGCGCCCCGAGCCGCCACCAGGTCGAACGGGCGTCGCATGCAGCGCAGGGGACGCGCTGGACCCTACATGACCGTCCCGGCGGCGGGAGTACACGGGCGTGCGCGGGTGAGCGCGGGCGTGCGCTGGGCGTGCGTCGCGACAGGAGCGCGCCGGGCAGCCGAGCCGCGACGCGTGTTGGAGCGCTGCTGCTCCTTCCTGGCGGACCGCTCCGCCGCGCGCAACCTGTATCCCTGACCTGCCTCAACGAGTGCGGCGGTTCTCCTAGGGCCGAGCCGAGCGCCCTCGCCCACCCCGCCCCGCCCCCGGCCGGCACGGGGGGGTGCACGCCAGCGACACCGGGTGGGCGGCGCGCGAACTGCAACGCTGCTGCTGCTGCTGCTGCACGGCACGCCACGGGCGTCGCGGCGTAGCGTCGCGGCACGGCGCCCTGTGGAGTGCGGAGTAGCGGCGCCTGGGGGCACTACAGGGGCGGGCCGGGGGTGGCGCCGGCGAGGGGTGCGCCGGACGCTTTCAGCTTTCGAGGGGAGAGGTAGGGGGGGGGGGCATCACAATCAGCGGCACGGTGAGCCCGGCCACGCCACGTGCCGCCATAAGTAAACACGACGCGCACTCGCACCGCACAGTGGACTCCTTCTTCTGGCAGTGACCTTGTCGCCGCACCATCGTCAAGAGCAGCGTGCATTCAACGTCCGGTACGGAAAGAGGAGGGGGGGGGGGAAGCGAGAAACACCATCGCTTGATGTCTGTCTCTGTCCAGCATAGTCCCCCTTGTTTGTGTAAGACAGAAGGGGAGATGACAAGAGAGGTAATGAATGGGACAAATAATACAAAGAGTCCGCTACAGTTGCGTGCAGCTGCGTAGGAGGTCGTTCGGGTCGTGGCTCATCGGCGTGCCGGCGGTGCATGCCATGCAGCGCGGCTTACATCACAGCAGCATCCGCTTATCAGTTGCCGTGCCAGACCCAAGGACGCGACTCGCTCCGCCCGCAGAGCGAGAGTGCAGGGAGGGGGAGGGAGAGAGGTGTGTATTTAAAGAGAAGCGAGAGGGAGAGGGGGTGGGGGAGGGAGGGGGAGAGATCGGCAGAGTGAAGCCGATCGGAACAGAGAGGAAGAGCTGCACATAGCAGTAGCAGTGCAGCCGACAGCGCGGCCAGCAAAGAGAGCACGACCGGCCGCGGCGCGCACATGGGCTGCAACGTGCCGCCCGCCTCAGCTGCCTCAGCGCAGCGGAAAGAGACGGAGCGCTGCTAAGAGAGAGAGAGAGAGAGGGACAGGGGGCCCGCGGTAGGCATCCCGCCGTGCAGCCGAGCGTGTTGGCCGGTCTATCCCGCCGTCCACAGGCGGTCCGCGCGCGCCAGGCCCGGCCAGCGGAGTGGGGC